GTACTAGTCAGACCACCGCATGCAAGATGCTTGAATTTAGCTTTGTCGATGTTGATCAGGGAGTTGTTGGCGACTTGGATGGGATATGCGTCAGAATAACGGCCACACCGAAAATCCGCATACGGTGGCCATCCAGGGGTACCTGCTCCTGCTCCTGAAGCATAAGAGTCCCCGATTGCCGCGTAGGAGCGTATTGATCGATGTGCAGTGCGGAGGTGAGCAGGGATTGACTGGCCGCCTAGGCAGAAGAGAAGGAGCAACAAGGGAGGTAACCAGGCGGATGCCATCGAGCAGGCTTCAGATAGTACTCGGATACAACACGCCGCCGGCGCTCAGACCTGTTAACATTCTATAAACCTCTCCCCAGATATCAGGAGGAATGATACATGAATAGGACGAGAAGCACGAGACAAGATCACAAAGACATGTAATAGGGTGTCGTCGAGGTTGCCTTGACTGCTGACTCATTCACGAGCCGCGCTACTGTCAGACAGATCAATCCGAGGTCTCGAAGCGCGCACGTGGGAGAAATTGCCTGTCAGACAAAAACTTATCAATCATGGACGTCATGGACCGCGCAGGGTCACCTGGTCGCTGGTCGCAGGTCGCAGTTCTCTTTCTCCTCAATCTTGCCATCCATTCTAGTCTCGATTGAGCCTGGATGCTGTTGAACACGATCCCCCACAAGGTCTTCAGTCTCGATCTGATTCGTGCCTCGTGTCAAACTTCTGTATTGCTATCATTGTACAAATACCCAACACCCTGTCTTCCTCGCACCCGCTGTCTGCAACCATCCGATGCTAGGCGCGGAATGAAGCGATCTGCCGCCGCCAAAGCTCATCCCAAACTTCCAGATTACTGCGATGTTGAGCCACGGCGCGATGAGTCCGGAAAACCCATCTGGCCTGCTCCGGAGGCTGCTATGGAGGAGGCAAGAGCCTTCATAAAAGAATGGTGTGACCGACCTTGCCACAGACTCCTTGTCCAACCTTGAACTCGTAAATGGCAATGCTAACTAAAGCAGTGCAGCAAGTGGCAAGAAAGCACTCATTGTTCCCGACAAAGACGCCGACGGCCTCTCATCAGGTGTCATCCTACATCGAACGCTGACGGACCTCGGCCTTGATCCGTCCTTGATCGATGTCCACCTGGTTCAGAAGGGTTCCACCATCCATGCCCAGTCGGAGCGTGAAGCCATGGCTGCGAAAAGTAAGTGAAGAACCGAACCTCATTGATTTAATGCATACCCTGACACCATTGATCAAGATCCGGCATATGTAGTTGTCCTCGATCAGGGATCAATAGCAGCACCACCCGTGGTTGATCTACACTACACGAAATCTCTGATCATTGACCATCATTTGAGTGATCATTTCCCTGAAGGTGCTCAGGTGGTCTCAGCCTGCCATTATCCGCCGGTCGCAACATCGTCTCTCCTCACTTACGAGATCTGTAAGATTCTAGCACCCAACATATCTTCCTCCTGTGCCTATCTCGCTTGTATCGGCACGCATGGTGATCTTGGAAATACCTTGAAGTGGTCTCCTCCGTTCCCAGACATGAAAGAGGCATTCAAATTGTTCACCAAAAAATCTATCAATGATGCAACCTCGCTTGTCAACGCACCCAGGCGAACCGCGAAATATGACGTTATCACCGCGTGGACAGCTCTTCTTGCATCAAAGGATCCCAAAGACCTGTTAAGCAATGGACGACTCCAGAGCGCACGTGCCGAGATCAATACGGAGGTAGAGTTGAACACACACACACCTCCAAAATTCAGCCCTGATGGACGAATCGCTGTTCTGCGGATCAACACACCTGCGCAGGTGCATCCAGTCATTGCCACTCGGTGGGCCGGATATCTGAACTCCAAATCTTTGGAAATAGTCCTTTGCGCAAATTCAGGTTATCTCCCTGGGATGGTCAACTTCTCTTGTCGTATCGCCCGATGCGCAAGGTCAAGAGATCCACCTGTCAATATCATTGACAGCTTGAAAGCTGCTGCAGATCTGTCATCCGACGGCCTCAAAGCTAGGCTTGGAGAGAGCTTCGCTAGAGGCCACAAAGAAGCCAGCGGTGGGATTGTGCCTGCTGAAGCCTTCGAGGAGCTGATGGCCCTGCTTAAAATTGGTGAAAAGCCGCAGAAGAACAGTGATGATGCGGATGAGCCGAAAGCAAAAAAGGTCAAGACCGTCGAAAAGAGTCCACAGAAAAACACGCTTGCGAACTATTTCCGGAAGCCATGAATTGCCCTCGATTGCCTGGTGCACATTCCATTCGGTCAACTGGATTAGACCTTGGCGCCTTCCACAGATCCCAGTGTTTGGTATGTATCATGCAACTCCCGCAGGACCGTTGGCAATGTCTCCTCGAGGGCCATATTGACAAGCCATTGAAACATCATGGGATCCCCGCCAAAGAGAGGACCACCCATTCTTTCAGACAACCTCTGGGGTAGATGGGCTTCGAGATAGACGTTGTAATCTCGGACATATTGCCTTATGGGCGGGGAATTTGCATCCTCAACATATGGGGTGCCTGGACGTTGCGCATCGGGAAAGAGTATGTCGAAGATTCCATACCACACCGACGTGGTGTCTTTGCGCATCTTCCTGCGCTTGACTGCTTTATACTGCTCGTGGGTCATCTTCTCTTCAAAGGGACAGTCTTTCAGATCACAAGCTGGCCTTGCCCGCGCGTGAAGCTCGCCGTCGCTTTCTGACTCGAATTCGGTATAGCAGGACGAACAAAAATATTCAGGCCGCCGATGGACCCGGTAAAGATGCTGCTTCAGTCGGGGGATGCTTGTCAAGCATACACTTCGACATCGACGATACGCCTTTTCATGCAAATTGGGGTTCATTTCCGAATATCTATTTGGATCATATTTCGCATAGGGACAGGCAAGAAGACCTTCTGCATCAAGATCTTCCAGGATGGGGCTCTCGATGCGCGGTCTCTGTGGCTTTCTTGACTCATCATCGCCGTCGACTTTTCGGCGTTTGTTCTTCCCGGACGACCCTGACACATTGTTCACCTGCTTGTTCGATGAACAAGACCCCGAGGTGGCCTGGATTCCACCGTTGGAGCTTGTGGGTGATTCTTGCGAGCTCTGAGGAGTGTGTACGGCCATCCCTCCTCGGTAGGAGACGAACTCTCGTATCAAGTCTTGCCCGATCTCTAAAACGAGGTCTTCGATTTTTTGCTGACTTCCCATGTCGAAGGATGGCGGGGACTGAGAGTTGAATACAAATGATTCCTCTCCGGAGGATGCAATGTCCATCTCCTGGGGCGTTGTTGAAGGGAGAGTAAAGGATTCTCTGCCACCTTTGACGCCTTCATGGGTCCCCATGGTTTCATCCCTCCCATCATAGTCGCCGAAGAAATTGAGGTCCTGGTATAACAGTGGTGAGCTAGCCCTGTCACTATCACCTCCGTTGGTCGCGTTGAAGGCGAACAACAATGGTGATGTGACCCGAGTTCCTCTGATGGGCAGTCGGCGCGTTGCGACGTGCAGTGATCGCGTTGATGTCGATCTGGTGCAGCGAGCAGCTTCTCCTTGCTTACAGCCGTCGTTGACGCTTCCGGTCATCCCCTCCAGGACTCCCTGATGCCAACCATCTTGGTCGACCAGGGTGGAGCACGAACCCATAGCCGATGTTCGAGTAGATAGGCCTTGGCCGGGGTAAGACTGTGAGGGAATGCTCTTTTCGAAATCACTCGAAGAGGCTTGGGCTACAGCCTCTTCTTCCGGGACAGGCAGTGGAAGCTCCTTGTCTTCATTTGCGAAGCCTGGCTCACAGCAAGCTCCAGAGCTCCAACCCAGACGCGACGGTGGTGATGCACTATTGTTGGGAGATGTCCGAGGAATGGTATCTCGACGGCTCCTAGGCTCACCACTTACTAGCGTGTAGCTCGTTGATTTTGCGCTCGCTATCCGATCTCCTGCAACATCCAGAGAAAACTCTGGCCGCACTGGAATGGAGCTGCGAGGCTCTTTATATGTCTCAGGAATGGAGCGTGGTTCCGCGTCCGCCAGAGGTCTAGTTCGACGATGTGACAATGGGTTTCCAGTACTATAAGAATACATTTTCAACCGCTTTGGAGCCTAAGAGGTGGAAGGACAAATAATTTGTAAACCTGGACGACGTTGGCAAGCGGCGAAATTTTCCGGGGTATTATAATGATCGGCGCGTCACTGATGAAGGCAGATGATGAGAATATGGTGGAAGAGAAGCAAAGAAAAGGAGCAGGAGCTAGAGTGAGAAGATATGGGCGGAAGTGGGTGCGTGTCGAAACCAACAGGCGGTGCATCAAGGTCCAGGCACACAGCACGGATTGCAAGTCACAGATGTGTGTATTCGGTACCGCGACCTTTGCAGGGAGTTTCGCACAGCCACGAAAAGGCGTCTGAGTACGTAGAGACGTGCTATTGGCTGGAAAGTTTCAGCTGGAATGCATAAGCGCCCATCCGGGGAAATGGAACAGGCATGGCAGAGGGCGAAACATTAACTCGGCAGTTCTCGGTCTGTGGCGGGGGACATTGGATTACGAGGTCTTCCAACTTCATTTTTTTTTTTCCTGGCCGGATTCATCCATCTCGGCGTTTGACCAAAGGGAGTCTGGTGGGAACGAATCCGCTGCGGGTTGTAACGCAGGTTCAGGGGTATACCAGGGGTGCGTCTTCACCGCAACTCCTAGTCGGGCAAGGCTGAGAGAGATTGGGCAGCAAGAGTTTGCCTGGATTTCGGAAAGCTTTGACGAGTGTAAAAGAGCGGCGGCAGTGGGGACAAACACTGCAGAAAATCAAAGAAAACAAGGGCAGAGGGTCATTAATTCCATTATTTGGATATGTACTCACTTGGTGTCTGTTTCCTCTCTCTGTCTCTCTCTCACACACACACAAAACATCTCACTCCAAACCACCAACCACCACCACCGCTCCCCCGGGGACCCGGGGGGCCTTGAGTCCTGTTGACCAAATCTCTCGCGTGCGCTCACACCTGATCGCTGTGCCTCCTGCGGACGGTGACCATGACGTCCTTTGGCTGGTGGAACCAGCCCTGCCAGACGGACCACTCCTTGCCGTCCATCTGGAGATCAAAGTCGTAGTCGCGCAGGATGGCCGGGAGCAGCTTGTACATTTCGGTGGTGGTGATGTGCTTGCCGATGCAGATGCGTTTGCCGTACCCGAAATGGATCATGTGGCGTTCCATGTGGGCGGCCGCCTTCTCGCCGTCGCGGAACCAGCGCTCCGGGATGAACTGTTCGGCGTCGGCGCCGAAGACGGCCTTGTCAAAGTGCACCGCGTTGGCGTTCATCATGACCGTCGTGCCGCCGGGAAAGAAGCGCCCGCAGATCTCCACCCCCGGGTACGGCACGACCCGCGGCAGGCCCGTGCCCAGTGACCCGTGCATGCGCATCGCCTCGCGCACCACCGCGTGGAGGTAGGGCAGCTTGATGGCGTCGTTGTACCGCACGGGGTACTTGAGGGTACCATTGGCAAAAGCCTCTTCGATCTCGGCGCGCACTTTGGCCAGAGTCGGCGGGTTTTTGTGCAGGTAGTAGAAGATGGCCGTCAGCGCAATGTACGTGGTGTCGGAACCCGCCCAGATCATGGCCCAGAGTTCTGTGGTGACGTCGAGGATGCCAAAGTCGTTCTTGGGGTCGTTGGCGATGTCGATGAGTTTGCTGAGCACGTCGTTTCGGTTGTACGGCTTCCCCTCGGCCATGTCGTCCAGACGCTGCTTCACCGCTGCGTGGGATTGGTCAATCACAGTGAAGAAACCCTTTGCTCCCGCGCGTGTCGCGGGATAGATCATCTGGGATAGAAAGTACAGATTTCGGAAACCCCACGGTATATTGTTCAATGCCGCAGCAGGGTTGGGCATGACGTCCATCAAATGACACCAATTGTTATAGTCGACTAGAATGTATATGTCAATGCTGGACTAGGGTGGTCATGTTTACTCCTTCGAGACGAGACTGGGAACTTACTGTTGTCTCTGATGAAACCAAAACCACCTTCTCGCCCGTAAAAGATCTCGCCAATGATATCAAAGGTGTACTTGCGGATCCAAACGGACACGTCGAAGACTTCTCCAGTGTCGGCAAAGTGATCCATCTGCTTGCGGAAGAGGGCGATTACCCTGTCCACGCACGGCTCGTACTCGAGCACAGCAGCTTGAGTGTACAGGTGCGCCACTGTCCGTCGTCGCCATGTGTGAGCTGCCTCATCCCGTTCGGCGAAACTATCCTTGCGTTTGGAAATGTGCGTCAGGAAATTGTTGTAAAAGTCGCCCTTGGTAAATTCATATTTGGGACCGTATATAGTGTCGACGGCCGAGGCGTCGGCGACTGAAACCTGATTTGGGGCAAGCCGGACAAGGTAGCCATATTTCTTGTGGATCGGGAGTTGGTAGTCTTGACCCCGACCATTTCGCACGGCTCGAAAGTACCAGAGACTGGTGATTGAAGCCCAAAATGGTCCGGGGATATCCCTCAATGGGTGGAAGTAGCGATTGTAGACGGCGCACGCAAAGACATAGGCAATGATGCTCGGAATGAAGAGTTGGAGCCCAAATATAATGTTGTCCTTCGACAACAGGGGTGATAACAGCATTTTGTTGTATACGTAGCACTGGTTCACGAGGGGAGGGACTGTGTGAGGGAGGGTTACACAAAGAGAAGAGAACGAATAGGCGCTGAATGAATACAAGCATGTACCTTGAAGTTACCTCACCCGAGTCGAACTCCACGAGACCAGCCTACCCACCTATCGTCACCCTCCACTCTCTTCTCCATGCATGCAGATGCTTCAGGGATGATCCCACACGAGGACATAGAATGCGGTTGGCTGTTGATTCATGGTTTTCTCGGTACAGCTCCTCGAATATCCTGCATGGTCTGAGGATCGGGCCAAAGGGTTCGATGATTGAAATACGTGGCATCTCCCTGACGCCTCGTGTGAGAGCGTCATCACTGAATCGAGTTAGCAGTCAACGGAGGGATGAGGGCGAAGAATGCCCACAGGGCCAACAGGAATTGAGTGTGTATGCGCAGGGCAGCCCACAAGCTGCGACCGAGGTCTTTCGTCCGTCTTCACTGATATGGCCTGCTGAACCTCATTCGACCGTCACGCACGCACAGGGGACTACTGCACTTCATGCAGGTGTGCACGCTGCAGGCGGCAGTTCGTGGAATGGCGAACTAGAGATGCTGGAAAAATGCGGAGCCGCTGATGGGATCGATTGACTCTGAGGGTTCTGGGAGGGTGTAGGATGTGCATTCGATGGAGAACATGTGTGCCGTCAACAAGAAGTCGTGTAAGAATCTGATTGAGCGAGAGGCGCCACAAGCTGCGTCTGACGATTCCCAGTTCCATGGAGTCGGGACCTTGACGGAAAGTCACGCATCTGCCAAGATTTGGCCAACACGACGAGCACCAAGCAACCACGAACTCGCACGAACAATACATGTACTGGTGATGTACATAAGACTTGCACCGAATGAACCTTAAAACACCCTGTCATAACTCTTCACCTAAACTGCGAAAACGTCCTTGTCTATCGGCTTTGCGGCTAGCTCTTCACGGTGCCATCCCAGCGCTGACTCTACGGGTGATGGAGATCGCACCGATCATTCCATGCCAAGTCGCCTTCACTCCCTCGTGCCGCTGCTATATTCCACCATATCACGTTTCAAATGATCGACAAGGCAATGCCAACACAGGAATATTCTAACAAAGAAACCTTTATCTCGGCAGGATACAGCATCCACGTGACGAGTCGTGCACGCAGACAAGAGCTAGAAGCAAGAGCGTCAGGTGATGCTGGAGATCCCAAGTCAAAAGTGATACTACCATAATTCGAACCCCCTCAATATCTGCAACATCGAGGATATGGCTAGGAAGAGATAGAATCGAACATTCGCAGACCGTGGTCGTGGGGCAGATTAAATATTCAACACTGCTGCGTAGATCGGGCATGTCAATACCGTCAAGAGAGCTTCTTTCAAGATGACTTGGTTTAGAACCACTGAAAATAGCGTGAACCCAAAATGGCACGGACCCAAGCATACTTTTGAGTCTTGGTGGAGGTAAGCGGGCAATGGCTGGCGGTAGATAGCCAGCCAAACCTCCAACGCCCATAAATGACTACTACCGGACAGACCAGCAGCTCGTACATGTTTTGAGCCAGAAACGCCCATGTTCCTCTCGCTATTCGTCAAACAGGCAGCCTTCGCTGGTCAACCTTCTTTCCCATTTCTCGTTCAGGAGATGGAACGAATAACGGAATTGGCGGGTGACCATCGGACCACTCTCCTCTCAGACCGGTTTCCACAATCTCTAGCTTAAACTTGGACAACGGCTTTATAGTGATTTTTTGCGGTCGGGGCGGCCTAGTGGTGTTTCCAAATCAGATAGCACCGCTTCAGACACCCTAGCGAGAGTAAAAGGCTTCTGCGCGTTACAAAATCTTGGAATGGATTCATCCGGGTTGTCTTTCTCTGCTTCTCCGTCATGGCTGTGATTTTCCATGAGGCAAAGCAGGTAGTGGTCAGTTGCCACCCCAGTGCTGGTGATTTCTACCAACCAGACGAAGCCCGTGTCATCCCAACGGTGGATAGCACCGGCACTTTGTTCTCGAGCCGAAAATATGTTGCCTAGATTGTGTCAGTGGAATCCACAACCCGCAGGTGGCTTATAGACAGCTTGGATTCCACACTTACCTAATGGGACGATTAGGAAAGCCTGGTCTTCTGAGCCATTCTCGCCTGCTTTATATCGTATCCCGAACAAGGGGCCGGCATTGATCGCTGTGATGTCGTAGAACTCTCGGACACTCAGTTCTGTCTCTAGAGGACCTAGGACTCGGCCGTTGAGGCGCAAGGCCAGTGGAATGCCCTGATAGCGTCCGAGATCAAAATCTGGCTTGACGGAGAGATATTGGCTCCAAAGCCGTGAGTTCACCTTGCGCAACGCCTCATTGTTCGCACTCCAGTCGGCCATCCGCAGACAAGCGGCGAATTCTTTGTCGGATATGTTCTCGACAGTCCACAGGCTCCGATCCAGGCTCCTATCCACCCTGTCAAAGAATTCCTTGACAAATCGTCGCCCATGTTGGTCTTTCAGGCGCGTTGTCCATTTTCTACGCTCGGCAAAACTGGTAGAGCAATTATCCCACTCATACTGAAGCGACAAGTATAGCGATAGAGTATCATCACCGGATTCCTTTGGGGTGCCAGCAGATTGGTCAGCCTGAGTGTCAGTGTGCACATTCACTTTCCGCTCTAGTCGGGTGCCTGGATGGACGGCAGCCACTCCAGCGATTGGGCAGAATCGACCACAGCGCTGGTTATGGCGGACGCAGCTATCCACGGGTCGCGACTCTGTTTTGGTAGAAGACCTAATGGGAAGATGATTCCGTGAGCGACATTGATGGGCTGGTTCCAGGAACAGTGGGAGGTAGTGGTGAGCAAACTATGATGGCGATGGACTAGTGAACTTGTGAATGAAGGATTCTAGTGTGCAATGTTTGGCCGTCAGTGGGTACCCGTTTAACCCTGTACCACCTCGCCTCCGCTGTCAGCGTATCTACTCAGGATGGAAGCATTGGAAAGACCACCGAGCACGATCAAAGACGACAAAGGACGCACAGGAGAAGATCGAGTACATCTCAGCGCAAATGGAGTCCGCAGCAGTCCCAAAATCCCACGCGGACGTTTCCTACTGCGCCGAGTCAGTCGCTGCCGCAAAGCTTTACTCACTGCGCACTGAGAAGCTGGTTCTTCAGTGATACCCGACTCGCTAGGATTGGGTTGTGTCTCCCATGACCTGGAACAGAGCTCTTGTTCATGCAGAGTGTGATCCAGCCCGGCTAATGCTCAATGGTCGGCAAAGAAGGCCAGGTTGAGGCTCATCGGATTTGGAGCACGGATTATCGGCAGCGATGAGGATTAAGGTGAACATTGCGCGGAACCTGAACGTAAGCGTAACATGGCAGCACCATGCGTTCCTGAAAGCGGCGGCGAATGGATATCTGAACATTTCCGAGTAGAAGACAGATACTGAAGGTCGAGTCGCGTGGGAGGTCAGAGAGACGAGTACGAATTAAGTTCTGTGCGTCTCGCTTCCATCCGCAGACCATCGCCACAGCCTCACTAGCAGACTAATAGTGACTAGCCATTCACTTGTGTGGGGTGCCCTGTGCTCCTCATTCTCAAAAGACCAAAATAATTATTGCATTGCAGCCCACCGCAGCGCGACTAGACATTCCCAGACCTGTAACTACATACAACAGCCACTACCCATTGCCTTCACAGCGACCTGAAAGACACATTCGACAATCTCCCTGCATACGGCGACCATCATGGACTCTGTTGTTCTTCGGCCCTTGGACTCCATTGAGACGCACCTCAACGCCCTCGTCACCTCTTTGACACAAACCAATACCTTCGCCAACGCGCCGCAACTCGCCCAAGACCTCATCGCCGACGACGACGAGCTCGCCTCGTCCCTCTCCTTGCTGCAACGCCATCAGCAAAACTACGCGCGCATACTAAATCTCCGTGCAGAGGCCGCTACGCTGCAAGAACAGCTAAAGGACACAATTCGAAAGTGTGTCTCCTTCAGACAAGAGATCGGCCAAATCAACCCGTCAATTCTCGATCTGGACTCGGATGAAGATGGAGAAGACGAAGATTCGCAAGTTGCACGAGTCGACTACCACACCCTTCTCACCTTCGCGGCGAGGATAGGCAAACACAATACAATTGCGGCGAGGGAAGCCGAAGCTGAATCTCTACGGAGGAAGATTGCCGCCAAAAACAAGGAGCAAACGTCGCCACCTGCAGTTGCAAATGGCCTCGAGGCACCCTCGGCCACGGCCGAGAGCGCACCTGAGGGAACAGAGGAGGCCAGAGATGAAAACCATACTGCCGAAACAACTGCGGAACTGATGCGCATAAACAACACAATCGCCGTGCAGCGCGCACAAATGGGCATGTCATTCCCTGACGCAGGAATATTACGCGTCGGCGCATTGGGACAGCTCCAGCTATTCTTGGAGCGGCAGCGACAACATTCGGGGGTTGATGCGGGTGCAGGACAAGAGGAGGCCAAGGCCGTGCAGGAGGCGTTGGAGAAGGAAGTGGAGAAGATGGTCAGAGAGACCGAGGACATTGCAGAGGATACAGGAACAGCTGGGGATATGGAAGAGGACGACACCACCGCCACCGCCGGTGGCTGGACAAGTCCGGTGTTGAAGCGTGGATTGACGTTTGAGGGAGAGAGCAGTCAAGATGCCTCTGCAAGTGCCGGCCATCCCTCGACGGGTCAAGCGGCACTTCCTCCAAAGCCGCCCAAACCACCGCAGCCGAAGAGGAAGCTCGACTTGGACTTTCCCGACAGCGACGAGGAGGATGAGGATTGATGCAGATCCCCCCTTTTCAGCAGAAGCGACTTGTTCAAATGCAAACTTTTCAAGGGATTTATTTGCCCCATATCCGACCCAACCACTTCACCAGAATCAAAGGCCAAACGGAGGAAGAAGACCCTTGATCGTCTGAGATGGATATCCATCCTCTCTTACTTCTTGCTTCTTCTACGGCAGGGGGTACTCGTGTAATAGACATATGCTATGTCACGTTCATATGTCTGCGCTTGGAGCCTCGCCAACGCTTGTTGCAGAGCAGGGCAGAGTAGACAAGGACAGAGCAGGGTCGAACAAGGAAAAAATGTCTCCCACTTGAAACTATTCTCCTTGGCTTTGTCGTATCTGTGAACGCAGCTTCATAGGTACCTGCCTACCTACCCATCTATCTGGGTATTTCTGTACATTGTTGTCACTGTCGTCACTCCTGATAGACCATGAATTATTGCTGACAGACGACCTTTGAAACAAGTGTTCTTGTATCTCCTGCCCCTCCTGCACCGGTTCCATGCTCACACCACAGCTCTGATCATCCCACAGACAGCGCTTCTCTCTGAAGGGGTGGCCATATTCTCCAAATCCTTCGACCCCCACGCGTTATTCCTTGAACCAGTGAAGTTGATTATCCATGTTGTTTGTACAAGCCTACTCTCTGTCAGTCTTCGGTCCCCAAAACTCCAGAGTTGTGCTTCAGACACTTACTCTCTCGTGCTTCACCAACAAGTCAGTCTGCACCATCCAGCAAACTGCATCTTCCATGGTCTAGCGCCTGGTCCTGCGGCTCCCCCTGCGATTTCTCTGTCCAAAACTTTTCACGTCGCGGTGCTTTGGAGGCTCTGGAGATGGACTCTTTGGATCAAAATCATAGTCTCCGTCGGTGTCGTCGTCATCATTTTCAGAAGGAGTCTCACTTCCAATCAGATCAGACAGTGTTGGTGACTTTACCCGCTCTGCCACTGGCTTGTTGAAACCGTGTGAGGACAACTGATCGTCGGGATGGTAGGGAGGAGTCGGTTCGTCTCGGACAGAACGGTGTGGTCCACCTTGTTTTGTGAGTGGCATCATGTTCCGGGAGAAGTCAGCCTCATCGCCAGATGCGGCGGGAGTGAATCCAGCGGACGGTGTTTGTGGTAGCTCTGAAGAATGGTTTCGCCCTGCCTGGTTTGTCGTGTGATATGGCGACTGGAAGGTGTTGTGTCGTGTCTTGCGGATTCGCGGTTCAACCGACCTAGTCATGGTACTTAGATCCTCGTCGGCTCCCTCTTTGGTGCTGTGTTGAGTTCTGGCAAGTTTTGGGGTAGCAGCACCGGCCTCCTGGTCAGTATCATCCAGCGCAACAAAGTGGTAAGATGGGGAGCTCATTATGCTCTTGTCCAAGTGTCGCGCCTTCTCAGCGTCTATGCCACCAGGGTCTTGTCTTGCAGTATTGACCACGGGATTATCATCGCGGAAGAGATCCTCGCGGCGATAGAATTGTAGATAACGGGGGTATTGCTTAGTGTAGAAGGCCAGTTGCTGTTGTGCGCGAAGCTCTCTTTGTCTTTCTTGATGCCATGTAGCTTCTTGTTCCACCCGTCTTTGGCTCAAGATATCTGACTTCTGCTCCTCCAGCTTCTGCCGGATGTACTGCGCCTTCTGTTCGTCAAGACAAAGCTGATAGCGTCTTGTCATCTCGGGGTCAGTTTCTAGCTTGTGCTCGGCAAGCCCCTGGTAGGACATGATCTCCTCAGGCCTCTTTCTCGTCATGATACCGTACCTCAGGTTGGAGAAGGACTGGACCCACGCGTTGCCGTCTTGATGCATGGCTTCTTCCAAAGGGGGCAGCAGAGGGCTTGTGCGCGGAGGAGGATCGCGCTCGTCGGTCAACATCTGCTCTTGTGATGGATGGTCCATGCTTGAAGCACAAACAGCTGTGGCGTTGTGTGTGTGTAGGACCTTTGGGTAGGAGTCGATGGATGGCGAGACGATGGAGGAGAAGTGGAAGTGACATTTTTATATTGTGCCAGGTAGAGCGGCTCAAGTGAAGACAGCAACGCCTCAGCCTGAGCGCGTAGTCCAGTCGACCGCCAAGTTCAATACCAGGGTACAGTCGGTCAGGTCGGTTGCGGCAGTCGCTGTCAACATCTCAAACGCGACCTTGTGCTGTGAATCTTGTCAGCGCTGCCGCACCACAAACAATGGCCATGTACCCACCCAACAGTGAAGAACAAAGGGGGAAAAGAAAATCACACCGATATATATTGTAACGGACAAATTTCTGTCAGCAATTCAAGAGCTGGTACAATGGTACATTGGTGTAAGGCTTGTTCACACGCCCTCAAACTCTCACCATTGATCATCCTTTCTGGATCCCATCTCCCTAAGTCGCCACCAACTGAGAATACCCTGAAGTCCATTCAATCTGCTGTTGTAGGAACTCTACTAAGCGAGCATCTCCCTCGATCAACAGTCATGGTAACTTCAGGTATGATCATAGGCTCATCTCTTCTCCGCCAAAAAAAGCGCAGGAGTTCTGGGAAAGGAAAAAGGAAATGATCATGGGATTGTATACAAGAAGGCACGATGGACACGGAAGCGT